TAGGTAATTATGACTAATTATATACATCATCGTAGGTTTACATCATTTCCCAGTAAAGTTTCATATATTTTACCAGTATTTCGCAAGTGTATCAATTTCCAAAATTAATTAATCTTTTATTGGCAATTTAGCGAAGTTAATTAGAATAAATTGCCTTGCGCTAGGTGATATTTGCCATATAAGTGTATTTTCTCATTCTTGGACTACAGCTACTATTTAAATAGGGAAATGTGGTTTGCAATGATTCATATCCCAAAATGGGAAAAATTCCCTTGTGTATAGAAACGAAACAGTCGAGTTCTCTTTTCACTGGCTTTGTCTAAAAGTTATTGAGTTCAGTCGAGTTTGGCATGCCTATGTATGAGTTGGCAAAGTCTCGTGTCCCAAAATGGCAAGGTTTTGCAGACAGCTTTTGAAAACGTAACTATGTTTAAAGTTATTAATAATCCTAGCTGCACGGTTGAAACACTAAGCACTGTCCTTGTAGCTTTGTTTCAATGATTTTAATATCCCCAGTTTGGCAGCGACTCTCTCATTGCTTGTTTCGCCTCAAGCTGAGGCATGCTGGGCAGTTTGAAAACAATTGAAAAAGTCACGCAGCAGCACCGTGTGTCGCCAACCGCGTCATTGTGGAGCAAGAACAACACTCAGCAGTCACGAAATAAACCCGTCTCGCTTGTAACGCAGCCTCGCCTGTCAGTATAAGTACAACGCGATCACTACAGATCACCTCAGATTAACCCAAGACGTCGAACGAGCTGGATCACTCGCTGGATCAAAGGTGAAATTAAGATGAATTACTTTGCACTCTTGTTAAGCATCGTATGTTTGGTGTGCCTCGTTCAGCTCTCCTCAGAAGAAAATGTAAATCGTTGGAGGACATCATATAAGGTATATATAAACATGTACAGTTTAAACCTAACATGTCATTCTAACCATAATTGATAAGTCAGTGTTACACGGCAGCAGATGGTGGTCAACCTACAAGAATGTTGACATTTACAGAAGAAATTCAACTAGTACATCTGTTAATGTATTTGTCTTCAAATTCAAGGAAAAGACTATTTTTCACTCTGATAACGGCAGCTTCGCCATCACCGGCTGCACTTTAGTGAAACTTTCCTATAAATGCACTGTATACGTTCTATCAATAGAAATATGTTTAAGTTTTTGACCGGAAATTGTACTACCAAACATACTTAACCTTAATTTCGTGTATGTTATTGAGCGATTTAGTTTTCATCATGGCAGATGACAATCAATTTATATCGGGGGACATTTGGGTTGAAGAATTAATGATTAAGTATATATATTTGGGTTGAAGAATTAATGATTAAGTATATATATTTGGGCTTGTTAGTTTAGAAATATGTTTTTGGATTATAGGTTATTAACATAGTTTGTATAAAAAGCATTAAAAATACTGTTGCAAGCCAAATGCGGCGTTTTTGAAGTTTATTTCTGCATACTGTATTTATATAAGGTTATTTATATGTCGGGTATTTAGTGGTAATCATTTGTGACTTGTTCCCAATGCGCCTAAGAAAGTTTATCTACAGTGTTTACATAAGCTGGTAGTTTTATAATTTACCTGAGATAATTGTGCAGTAAGTGCGTAATTATTTGTGTTATTTTAACGCTGTGCTTTAAGCCTTTAACGTTATCTATGCCTCTATTCAAATGATCTTGGCTTAATTGCTTTTCCCAGGCATAGAAACATCGGCAGAAAATCAGAATATATTTGAGTAAGGCTAATTTGAATCTATTAGCGTTCCAGATTTTGCAATCATGTTTCAATCATTTGCATTTTTGGTTTTAGTAGTTTCCATCTGTTCCGGCTAGCAATTTGCTGATCATTTCTCCCTGATATTAAGAAATAGTATAGGGTGTGATTTATATGTCACCTATTATCTAATAAAGATAATCTGATGACATGAAATAACAGTCTATACACGAGTTGTCAACGCATTTACTAATCCTCGCTGACATTGGCATTCATTCTATACAACTCCTCGCTAAAAAGATGCATTGTGATAGATCGTTAATCTTGTGAGGAAATACCAGCATCACAATTGACAGAACTAATTGTAGACGTCATTTTGTTGCTCAGCTCAAAAACTCTACATTCTTTTCAATCCTTTGCCTGATACCTTTTTGATTTAAAGGTTTGGAGGCGTATTTAAGGAACGACTCTTTGATTAATGCATGAATTCCAAGACCGCTATTTACCGTGAGCGAATAACATTTGAGGACATACTCTAAATTCTAGGATGGCTTTCTTTGGAAAAATTTCAGCATTGTTCAAATGATTTAAGATACCAAATTGGGAAAACTATGCATTTTAGAATATACCTTGTAAGGCATTAGAACTGAATCGCCTTCAATCAATGTGCAAATATGTGTGGTCATGCTTCCAATTGTAGCAATTATGTTAATTAATCCATCAATCATCACCGTCTAAAAACTGATCACGTTGGGGCGGAAAGTAACTTTCGAAAAACAAGTCAGTCAGGTCTGTCAGGAAGAATAAAAATGAAACCTTCATCTTTTCATTTTTCTCCCTAATGAACGCATATTTGGAAACTCTAAGGAATGTTCTATGCTTTTACCTATGTGACTGAAATGGATTGTGTTCCACAACAGACCTGTGTCTGATAAAATCTGTACTTGGTTGGTTAATGACCATTAAGATAGGTTAATGATTATCCCAGATTATCCTAGCTTTATATAAGCTCATAAGATTATGGCCTTTTGATGCGATTAAGACGCGATTAAGTTGTTTAGGTGTTGGCTGGGTGTATATAGCAGTTTGTTATAAGCTTGTTAAAATCATACTAGGGTGATATTGATATCTATTGACCTGCTGTGTCATTTAGAATACTGTAACAATTGGCACTGCGTGATTAACTTGATCCGCTCAAAATAACATTCAATACGCCCATGCAGCTTGCATGCCAGCTAGAAACAGGAAAATGTTTCTACTAAAACTACCATATTTCATTTGATTCTCATATGGAAACCTTTTTATTGGAAAAAATCTTATGGCAGTACCGAGTCGATGATCTCGTATAGTCTCTCCCAGGCAGCTGTCGCATGAGTTCCAACTTTTGCTTGTGGGTACAACTCGTAATTACGCGCAATTACAACGTGATTAGGCATGGAGAAATATTTCGTGTTAATTCATTAAAAATATGTGAAAAGTGCAACAAATGGCTTTCAAACAATTTATTTGGTTTTTACATTAGAACATCTTCAGAGCGTTGAACTCTGCAATTCGTGAATATTATGTTCAAGTGGACGGGCATAAGAATTTTTCTCCCTTTCTTAGGGCTGCTTTATACTAGCGAAGTTTCTGGGATCACAGTAGGAATTTTGCATTGGTAAATTCTAAGTTTTGAAGAATTTGTAAGAAATGTTTCAGGGAACTGGTTTAAACACGAAGTAAAGTTCCCTCAAACATTTCTTACAAATCATTCAAAACTTAGAATTTGCCCATGCAAAATTCCTACTGTGATCACAGAAACTTTGATAGTGTCAACCAGACTTTAGTACTGATTGGGCAGTTAACGATGAACCATTATTCAGGGAAGAAGCTCGCATTGTCATCTTTGTGAAATACACGTCTGCCATAGGTGAAAATTGCATCAATATATAACATTTGATATTCCCCTACTGTTTCAAATGCTTCAACAATGGAATCCACTTTAAAAACAGTTAGAATATAATTGTGGGAATTAACAGAAACTTAAATTCAACTCTTCGGTATCTTTAAAAGGAAATTAGGAGACAAAGGATTAATTAGAGAGGACCAAATTAGATCTGTAGAACTAAAAATACTCGACTTCCTGCTTGCAGAAGCGTCTAGACCATGTAGAAACATTGGGTAACAGGTCGTTATTAATTAGGGATAATTATTTCTGTATTTAAGAGGTTAATTAGAAATATGATGGTCATTATTTGGCACCTATTTTCAAGTTGCATGGAACACCGACCTAACTGAGAAGAATAGAGGATCAAGAAGATTTGTTAACATGACATAAAATTTTATCATTTAGTAGGGGTGAATAAGTTACGATGACGGTAGGTTTGAAACATTCTTGCACGAAACGTTTGTTAACATGAAAGAATTAAACTATTTTTATCCCTGAAGTTCGTAGGGGTCAATTAGTTATAATAATGAACCGTTTGAGAGAGGTCCAGGTAGTAATTTTTAAATTACATTGAATGCTGACCTATGGTGAGGTTTTATTTCCTTTTAACAACTATAAACAAAGCGTAATTACCTTAGTAATTTTCCTGCAGTGTGAGTAGCTAAAAATAAGCCTTTAAAATAGCTAACACAGTACGAATCAACAAAATATTTGGGTTTTACAATTTGGAAATGATTTTCACTACAGGATCATTCACCCAAGAATCAGGGCTCCTTAGTTCTGACATTGTTCTGCAAAATTCCGTCATTGATAACAGCATTACTTGTAACGCTCAAAGGTTTACCCTACTAAAATAGAATAAGTTCTTTGTATGTTTGCATGGTGATAAAATATAATAGGTTTTGTTTGTGGAAACACCACGTAAATTTATTACTGCAAAGCTTTCGATCCGTAAGCCCGGATCTTCATCAGTGCTAATAATATGTAATATGCTATAATTAGTGCTAAACTTCATCAGTGCTATAATTACGGATCGAAAGCTTTGCAGTAATAAATTTACGTGGTGTTTCCACAAACAAAACCTATTAAAATAAAATAGTTTTTCATACTCATACTCAAGTCGTTTAATTCGAGTTTCCTTTCTTTTAGCTCAAAGAGTCTCGACGAAACAGACGTCGAGGGAGGGGTAAGAAGGGACGCCCAGGACCTGTGGGTCCCCCTGGAAACCCTGGACCTCCGGTATGTAATACGTTATACTTCATCGTATATTGCACAGCATAGCACATTATTGAGGTTCAAATTTTACTACCATGCATTACTTCTAACTGGCTTGTTAAGCACTTGATTGCTTCATGGTCCCTTAATGGTAGCGGCAGATGAACCTCTCTATTATTGTTAGGCGACTGGCTCACTGCTTTCTAGTTAAACGTTTTTCATACACAGGCTGTGCTTCTGTTCATTTATTCCATAAGAAACTTCGAAATGGATTTAAACTTTTTCTGTGCGTGTACGCACGTATGAACAAAGTTTAACTGGAAAGCAGCCTTTCCGGGTAGTGGTATGTACAGTACACCGTCTGTTTTTCACTTTTTCGTAACATATTGTAGAATTTTGTTTTGCGTAAAAGTCTCGAGTTCCACCTTTGTGAAGTGCAAGACACTAGCCGTTCTTGAAGGTCTCCCAGGGGTATCAAGGGTCTGCCAGGGGTTTCAAGGGTCTGCTAGGATTTTTCAGGGAACAAGGGCCATGTTTTGAAATGGGAACACGGGAACCAAGCTGAACAAAATCTGGGTAACAAGGGAACATGATGAAATCTTTGGAACAAAGAAACGGAGGAAAAGGTTTCAAGGGAACATCCCTCCCCTGGATACTAATGTTGTAAGTTCAATATCTAAAGATGGTTTTCTTTCGTTCTAGGGCTTACCAGGACGTGATGGTCAGCAAGGATCGCCTGGTGTTCCTGGAGAAGTAAGTTTTTTCACGGACACATGTCCTTCCTTCGACATGATTTGATAACCATCATCGTTCCTCCTCATTGTAGACTGGTCTTCCTGGTGATATTGGTCTACCAGGAAATCGTGGATTGAAAGGACAAAAAGGAGGAAGGGGAGACAAGGTAACTTGTGTTTTGCATCGTCGTACACCAGACACCATTCCTTCATTGTCAAGATTTATCAAGTATGTCTCAGTTGCATGGGAGAAAAGTACTTTCACTATAAAACCTCAGGTTTCTTTGAGTACGCAGGTTTCCTCCTGGGGGTAACACCAATAAAACATGGCCTTTACTGGATCTCTATAAAGAACAGTTTAGAACCACTGATCAGTGTTTAGAACTGATAGAGCTATCCAGTATAATTAAAAGAGGTATTTAGGTTAGGTTTCCTCTTGTTAACGAGATGTTTAGTTTAGGTTTCCTCTTAATAATAGTTTTGTTTGTGGAAACACCGCGTAAATTTATTACTGCAAAGCTTTCGATCCGTAAGCCCGGATCTTAACGAGATGTTTAGGTTAGGTGGAAACACCGCGTAAATTTATTACTGCAAAGCTTTCGATCCGTAAGCCCGGATCTTCATCAGTGCTAATAATATGTGACTTGTTTAATTCACACGCCCTTTTTCCTCTTGTTAACGAGATGTTTAGTTTAGGTTTCCTCTTGTTAACGAGATGTTTAGTTTAGGTTTCCTCTTGTTAACGAGATGTTTAGTTTAGGTTAATAGTTTTGTTTGTGGAAACACCGCGTAAATTTATTACTGCAAAGCTTTCGATCCGTAAGCCCGGATCTTCATCAGTGCTAATAATATGTGACTTGTTTAATTCACACGCCCTTTTTCCTCTTGTTAACGAGATGTTTAGTTTAGGTTTCCTCTTGTTAACGAGATGTTTAGTTTAGGTTTCCTCTTGTTAACGAGATGTTTAGTTTAGGTTTCCTCTTGTTAACGAGATGTTTAGTTTAGGTTTCCCGAGTTTCCTCTTGTTAACGAGATGTTTAGTTTAGGTTTCCTCTTGTTAACGAGATGTTTAGTTTAGGTTTCCTCTTGTTAACGAGATGTTTAGTTTAGGTTTCCTCTTGTTAACGAGATGTTTAGTTTAGGTTTCCTCTTGTTAACGAGATGTTTAGTTTAGGTTTCCTGTTTCCTCTTGTTAACGAGATGTTTAGTTTAGGTTTCCTGAGTTTCCTCTTGTTAACGAGATGTTTTTTTCATCCAGGGTGACAGGGGTACTCCGGGCACTCCAGGTCAGGCGTGCTTCATAGAGAAAACAGATGTCCAGATATGTATGACCCCACCTACCGGCCCAGAAGGACCCCAGGGGATCAAGGGAGACTCTGGCTCGGTGGGTGAGAAAGGAGATCCTGGCACGGCTGGCAAAAATGGCGCTCCTGGGGAGAGGGGGCTGCGTGGTCCCCCAGGAAGAGCAGTGGATGCAATAAGTAAGTAGCCAGTCATCAAAGCACTCTGTCATTGCATGACCTAATTGCATTGATGCCTTGTATTATTGCATTTTACCTGTTATTACTTTGACTCTAAATTCACCACCATGAAAAGAGGGTACGTTCTATTTGTGTACATCTCGCTAACTATATCTCTTCTATCTCTAGACATCCGCTGTCACACTCGGCATAATAAACTGATGGTGGCCAAAGAACAGATCGCAGACAATCTTGAAGATCTCATCCATGCTCATTGCGACCCACTGCAATTTCTTCAAGGCATGAAGATATACAAAGACACAACGTCGGTCAAACTGGTTTATACCTGTTGTTCGTTTTACTAAATGACCTGTCAAGCTGGTTTATATCTGTTGCTGGTTTTTCGAATGACCAGTCGAGCTTGTTTAAAGCTGGATTTACAGCTCGTCAAACTGGTTCATTCCTGGATATTACCTATTACAGACTTGTTGCTTGTGTGTTGCAAACCGGATCATCATTATACCTGCTGTTCGTTTTGCTGTGTAAAGCTGGTTCATACCTGAATAATTATCCTGTATCTTATTTCGCTAAATATGTAATCAAACTGGTTTGTAACTGTAGTAATTTTACTCTATTACGAAGAAACTAGCGAAGTAAAATGTTTCTCGGCAGAGCAAGCCTGCTACGATGTATACACAATGTAATCCACGCACATTTTTCTTAGCTGTATATATTTATTGGAGAAAAATTCTCGTTACAGAGTGTTGAAAAGTGTTCATATTATATCATGTATATACATACTTATCATGTGACCAAACATTGCTTAGCACATGATTTTCATTGCGCAGCACGTGACTTGTCACGTGATGCATCCTGATATTCGTCATTAATGCTTCGTCCAATCACAAGGCGTCGTACTTCACTCGTCCCAGCCCCAATCTCGTACAGCTTCGCGTCTCTTAACAATCGTCCCGTGGGGTAGTCTGAGATATAGCCATTTCCTCCTGCGAAAGAAATTTCCAACATTATGTCCTGAGCAAACTAAATGTCAATAAGGTTTGAAAACAAAAGTGTACTGTGTTGACTGAAACATCTTATTTTTCACTTTCATCTTTTCCACTTTATATTAGAGTAATTATTAGTCTGAGAAACTATATCCAAAATAATATCCACTGCAAAATACAGTACCTAAACACTGAATGGCGTCCAAGGCAACTTGAGTTGCATTTTCTGCAGCATACAGGATAACTGCCGCACAATCCTAGTGAGGAAACATTAAATTGACATGAGCGGCAACGGACATTGATTGGGTTTATTAGAAAGGCAGGGGTGGAAAATATGGGCGAGCACTGCTCACAGGAGTTAACAGCTGCAGGAAATTCATTTGAATGAAGATTTTTGCTATTGAAAATTTGAAGGAAATCTTAACACCCGTGTCCCACAATGGGTGCAACAACATATGGTTGACAGACATTATTCCTTGAATCTAAAACCGTAGTCAGCTAGAGCACTAGCTATATGTTTATCCACATGCATGCAGATTTAGCACAAAAATACTCCGTTGTGCTCCCAGGAAGAAACTTTTCCTGCCTCTGTGTTAAACGTACCTTGTTATTAAAGTGTCCCTTGTCACAAGCTCTTGCCACTGTGTATAGGTATGACCTACAGGCCATTAATCTCGTGTACATATCAGCCATTTTAGCTTGCATTAACTAAATGAATAGAGAAACATGGATAAGGGAAATATAAATGAAATGGAATCCCTCAATCTAACGCTAACCCCGTCATTAAACCAAGGCCAAACCTCATCCTAACTTAATGCTTCACTGTAATTCTAACCTGAACGTCAACCCTAGCTAACTCCGTAATCGTATGCGAAAAATATTAAAGAAATGTACTTGAAATTTTCCAATTTTTTCGTCAAATGCTTCTCTGGCGTGAAGATACGGGAACGTTATATCAATAGCTGCTTGCATTAATCTGAGAAATAAAAATAATCTTTGATGGAAACAATTACCATGGAAGGTAGTATAGTGTAATTAGTTGTTCCAAAAGCAATTAGTTGTTCCAAAAGTAAGTTCCAAAAGCAATTAGTTGTTCCAAAAGTAAGTTCCAAAGGCAATTAGTTGTTCCAAAAGTAAGTTCCAAAAGCAATTAGTTGTTCCAAAAGTAAGTTCCAAAAGCAATTAGTTGTTCCAAAAGTAAGTTCCAAAAGCAATTAGTTGTTCCAAAAGTAAGTTCCAAAAGCAATTAGTTGTTCCAAAGGCACTTACCCTACTGGCCCCGCAGCCAAGAGCATTCGTTCAAGATCCAATCCACTCATTAAAACATAGACACCCTTGTTATAGCCTCCCAGAAGATTTTCAGCTGCAAATAAAATACATGATTGAAGCATTTGATCAGCACCTAGCGCCCTGTGACAAACCTACACACCTGGTACAATGCAATCTTCAAATATGAGTTCCGCTGTGCTTGAACCACGCATGCCCAACTTGTCTAGTTTGAGTCCGGTTGAAAACCCAGGGAAATTCTTTTCCACAATGAAACAGCTGATGCCATGTTGAGGTTTGCCCGTGTTTTCAGTCTTCGCGTAGACCAATAAAACATCAGCTTCTGGACCATTTGTGATCCACATCTTCGTACCATTTAAGACATAATGATCATCTGAAAATACGTTATTTCTTTTGATAAGGCTGGCTGTAATTCTCAGTGATAATTTATGGAAACTCATTGATGTTATAAAACATTATTATCAGCTTTCTACACCATATATACAATTAAAATAAGACTAAAAGGCGATGTCAAACAAGTTTCGTCCTTCGGACGTTTTCAACAAATCGCCATATTATCTATTTACAATATGGCGATTTGTTGAAAAGTTCCGAAGGACGAAACTTGTTTGAAATCGCCTTTTTAGTCTTATTTTAATTGTGTATATGGTGTAGAAAGCTGATAATAATAATAAATGTTTTATAACATCAATGAGTTTATAAGTAAAGCTTTCCTGGCTGCAACGACAGATATATCTAAAAATTTATGGAAACAAAGACCGTCAAGCAGTTTGTATACCTGATACAAAATCCTACTGCCTTACGTAAAGTTTAAGTCCATTTTTCTCACCAAATCTCATGTATGGCTGCTCATGCTATTATATTATATTCTTTTCGAAACGCGCTACAAAACCTTTCTTTACAGCTCGTAACTTCATAGATACAACATCAGATCCAGAATTTGCCTCGCTCATGGCGAGAGCTCCGATATGTTCCCCAGAACAAAGCTACAAGAAGAATGGCAACCATCAGTCTAGTACTTCGCATGCACTACCAGAGACTGTGTGGAGGAATTTGGGCAAAGAAACGATAATTCCTGTAGTTTACAAGTCAGGCTGAATCCCAGGTTGAGAATAGTTGACCGACCTTAGGAAGATATTGTTGTTTTTGTCGTTCGTCGCCATTCCGGCATATTTGATTAATACATAGGTTTGAATGAGCGCCGTAACTCAGAGCTATTGAAGCTGAGACACGTGACATTTCTTCCATGACCAGGCAATGATCCAGATAGCCCATTCCTGAGCCACCATACTCCCCTACATGTGGAGAATTATTGATGAAGATACAAGTTCATAACTGTGATATTCAGTGGAGGTTTTCTGCAAGTTTTTATTTACCTGGTGCTGTTACACCCAGAAGACCTAAATCTCCAAGCTTTTTCCAAAATTCCTGGCAATAAAAACATGTCAGTGTCATGAGTTGACCATCTTTATTTATACTGGATGGGTCTATCAGTTGTAAATATTGTTCTCTAGAGGTCCAGTAAGGATCATCTCTTATCTTATTGAACCAGTGTTACTACAGGAGGACAACTAAACTAAACTTAGTCTAACTTTATTTATACTGGATAGCTCTATCAGTTCTAAACTGTTCTTCTTGGAGGTCCAGTAAGGATCATTTATAGGATGCTCTATCAGTACTAAACTGTTCTCCCTACTAACAGATCCAGTAACTAAAGCATCATCTCTTATTGATCCAGTGCTACTACAGGAGGAAACCTAAACTACACTTTATTTATACTGGATAGTTCTATCAGTTCTAAACTGTTCTCTAGAGGTCCAGTAAGGATCATCTCTTATTGATCCAGTGTTACTACAGGAGGAAACCTAAACTAAACTAACTTTATATATACTGCATAGCTCTATCAGTTCTAAACTGTTCTTCCCAGAGGTCCAGTAAGAATCATCTCTTATTGATCCAGTGTTACTACAGGAGGAAATCTAAACTAAACTAACTTTATTTATACTTAGTGGAATAGCTCTATCAGTTCTAAACTGTTCTCCCTAGAGGTCCAGGAAGGATAATCTCTTTTTGATGTTTGGTGGAGTCAATCTGGAAGCATTTTTCTCACATTGGACTGATGAACATCCTCTTCAGGGGTGGTTTATCACTTGAGGGAGACAGCCGGCAGTCATTTGTATGGATATGTAGAGACTTTTTACCCTCATTTGTGGAAACCCATTTTCTTTGTCAATTTGATCAGCAAAAGGAGCAAGTTCCTTTCCAAAAAAGTTGTGAACACTGTCTCTCAACTGGAAGAAAAATTTGTTATGGGCTTGTTAGTTGTTAACCGAAGCAGGAATTGAACCCACAAATTTTTGGGAATCCAGCGAATACTAGAGTATCAATCACCAGAGTGGGTTCGATTCCTAGCCCGGTCTAAGAAATTTTTCAATATACCGGTATTAATATCTAAACATCATGAAAATAATACCATACAACAAAATCGATAAACTTTTTAACGCAATACTTATTTACCATACAAAATTATACATTCAAGCTGAATTTATAATGAAATATTTCGTAAACAAAGGTGTAATTATAAAGACGTGTTTATATTTTGGCTAGATTGGATGTAGTATTTGTATGAGGAGAATCTGGCTCAAACCTGGCGTTGTTCGTCTGAAATCCCGGTCAAAGTATCATCAATATGGTAAGAACGCCTGCATATACTTTGATTGCCAATACAGCTTAATCTCGTGAACTGAACGCCGCGAAAACATCGCAGACTTTGATTCCATAGTTTCGCCGCCATGATGCAATGTTATTATTATCCCTCACTCGATTACATCGCTCAGGAGTCAGGTGATGTAAAGCCTGCAGCACACGAGAGCTATCTGCTGAGCCAAAAGTTACTCGTGCCTGCTGGCTCAGCCGATAGCTCACCGATCAAACATGTTTGATACGTGAGAAAAGGTTGCATGAGGCAAAAAATTCAGTAAAATGTACCCGCACACGGTGAGCTATCGGCTGAGCTAACAGGCACGAGTATGAACTTTTTGCTCAGCAGATAGCTCTCGTGTGCTGCAGGCTTAAGATCGTAAAGCACGAAAATTCAAGACGAAAATTAATTTTAGAACACGAACCTACGCGTCTGAGCGATGGTGATGCCAGCCCCAAAAATTTAGCCATGCTATGCAAATTATAAATCATTATCATTATCCATTTCTTTAGAAATTGATTGTTTTTAATGTGGTCTTTGAACACGGAAATATATACATAGCATGACCAAATTGTCGGGCTGGCTTCGCCACTGGCTAGTTCAGACACAAACCACGACAGCTTATTGTAGAATACTACCATGGATAATAAAATAACTGATGGATAGGAAACTAGCTGACGTGACCTAATGTTTTCAATGGGCTGATGGTGTGATTGGTAATGACATATTATTAAAGCGGCAGCCAAAGTGTCTCTTAATAACGCTGCATGCCCCTCGCCATACGCTCTTACTGAACAGGTGCATAAAATGATTGTCATAATCATGTAAATTTCAGAGACTCATCTTCAGACAGTAAAATTAAGACTAGTTATAAGAAAGCTTTGGAAGTATTTTTGATGTGAAAAGAGGTAAACAATACTTGTCCAATGTTTTATCATTGCTCACACTTGTTCATTCTTACAGTAATGGTATCTTTGGCCAGTTTCGGTCCGTGTAGAGCACGGAAAAGACTCGTTATTATAGTAGGCAAGAGTAATTCTTCATTCAGAACGGTACTACAAGATAACCCCGAGGCGGAGGAGTATCGCATACAAGAACTGAATGAGACTGAACAATGGATTAATGAAACTAAAGAAAGCAAGAAAAAAATCCAAAGACGTGCACGAGGAGAACTATAGATTAAGTATTCGAGAACTAAAATATAGGTGGTGTACAACTACAACACATTTTCCAAAAACTCAACGGTCACTTAGCAACGGTCACGCGTGTAGCACCTGTCACTTTGTTCGTTTAAACACACGGACAAGAATCATTTCAAAACTTTTCCCGAACTTTAATGATCCTCGTTTCTTTATCAACTGATTTGAGCGGAGGGTTTTATTAAAGAGCGCGTCAACTATATATAATTTGTGACGTCATAGGCACGGCTTCAAACTACTGTGCGCGACAAGTGAAAAATTTGCAATTCAAATTTCGTTCTCTTTGAATCAAAACAGATGAAGCTTTACCTCGAAACTGACCTAGTTTAAGATGAGTTTCAGTTTGGGAAAATGTGCAGTCAAACGATTTGTGTTGTGTTAATGTACATTTTAACACTGCATAGTGTTATGGCGAGTTTTGGGTATAATGATGTATTTGAAGACGAAATGATTGAATATGAAAAGCGGCAGCTTGTTGGCGGGGAGACAGCAATACCTGAAGATAAACTCAACCAGTACGAAGATTTACAAGCGGGAATCAACAAAGCTGAAGCGGAGATTTTGAACGAAGACCAGCTGAGTTTTGATAAGAACTCGCTGCAAGCCACAAGTCAAGTTGTACAGGGGACATTATATCGTGTTAAAGTTGATGTTCAGCCCAAATCCTGTTCCGATTCAGAGAGTTGCAACATTGTGAAACATTGCTCGTTTGAAATCTGGTCACGAGTATGGCTGTCTGAAGATGAGAAACTGAAAATTCAGAATATAACTTGTACTGACGCTTAAATTGCACATTTTCTACTTAATAGATTTGTTCATTAAATTTGAAATGTGTTTTTGTTTGATGTTCTGTGCAAGTAATTTATAATTCATGCTTGATTTCAATTTCAATGATTGACTATGACGTGTGGTCTGCTGCTCTTACTGTTCCGCCAAGTTACTGAACTTCATAGTTTGAATGAATGAACAACTTTATTTAAAGAGGGAAAAAACACATGCAGGAATATAACTGAAAAACCTGTGGCCCTCATATACAATACATACAAAGTCAGTTAATTCTACTTTAAAACGTCTAAAAGCTACTTAGAGTAAATATGTAAAAGATCTTTATAGGATTATAAATTTATATATACAAATTATATACAGTACAACTTGCTGATCACAATAGTAATTCAAAGCGATCGATGCCCTTACTTATATATATATAAGATTCTAAGAAGTATTTTTTAAGGGAGTATTTTTTAGGAGTATTTATAATTGACTTATTTAGTATTTATATTATTTTTTTTTTTTATTATTTAGGAGTATTTTTTAGGGGTATTTTTTTTATTTTTAGGAGTATTTTCTAAGAAGTATTTTTTAAAGGAGTATTTTTTAGGAGTATTTATAATTGACTTATTTAGTATTTATATTATTTTTTATTTTTATTATTTAGGAGTATTTTTTAGGGGTATTTTTTTATTTTTAGGAGTATTTTCTAAGAAGTATTAGTTTTAAGGGAGTATTTTTTTATTGTTTAACCAAGTGAATATCTCATACGTGGTTGTCCAGTGTAGGTAGTATTGTACCGCACTATAATTAAGCTGCCGTGGTTTGTGTCTGAACTGACTTGAAAAAGATATCTAGTCAAACGTGGTGGTCCATTGTAGGTAGTATTCAGGCTACAATAAGCTGCCATGGTTTCGGTCCGAACTACCTGAGAAAGGTATCTCAAACGTGGTGGCCCAGTGTAGATTGTAGTAATTCACCAATCTTGTTCCCAGGTATTAACAAATCATGGCAGCTCGTTTCAAAGCCAAAGCAATAGCCGTTTTCACATTAGAAGACGGACAAGTCGTCTAGACGAACAAATCGTCTCAAAATCGTCTTTTAGTCGGACAAATCATCAGATGTGAAAACGTGTCGGACAAAATTTTAGACGAACAAGTCGTCTGAATTTGTTCGACTACTTGTCCGTCTGTGAAGACGATTTTTGAGAGACGATTTGTTCGTCTAGACGACTTGTCCGTCTCTAATGTGAATAGGGCTAATGATCCGTGAACAGTTTGTCAAAGCAAAATGAGCTGGCAGTGCATTCTGGGAAGTCTCATGACCATGTTTCGGCATCCGTTAGCTCCATTAAATTTTATTAAAATATTATGCAAATGCTCTATGTTTAATTGAGCGACAAAAAGTAAAAATAACTTAATAACTTTAGCGGTTATCCTTGTATTATAAATCCTATTCAGTTTAAAAGCTGCAAGCGTTAGGAGAAGTTTATAGCTTGTGGCTTGGAAAAGAACAACTGGGAGAAGTCCAGCTATCAATCTAGGTGGAATATCACTATATCAGTACAATACAATATCGACTGTCGTAATTTAATTGCATCCGAATTAATTTTCTGGGGGGAAAAAATCGTGGAAGTGCATTCATGCAGTGTGGCTAGTATTCTTCCCCAAACTGTCGTTTATGCCTGACTATAAACTAGCTAAAAAAGTAGTATATGAAGATTTATCTCTCATCCAGTCTTGTTATTGCGGTCGTTGCGGTCGGCATGTTTGAATGTGTGATTGTGAGCGATGGTAAGTAAGAAATAAACAACACGAGTGCCATGTGTGATGGATAGCAGTCTCGAAGCGTCTCTCGTGAAAAACGTCTAGTTTACGTCGTTTTTATGGTTTATACACCGAGAAGAAGACGCCTAGTTCGTGCGATTTTCGTTGGGCTTATTTTTATTGGATGTGTGCTGTTATTTGAACGATGGAATGTTAGTGGTCCCCCAGTCTCAAACCATGATCCAAGGATCGCAAAATATGTGAACGAACCTTTGGGTAATATGTTAATTTTATGTTTCCTAAACTGGATTACTTGTAGTGTTTTCAAATACCGCTCTGATCCTCTTGTTTTGCCTATATTGAACTTGAAAAGATTACTCTTAAATCTTTAAAGAAGCGCTATATTATAAAAGACTATAGAATTAACATGAATATTTTATTATGTTTTCCCTTTTATATTTTGCTCTATTATTCAGTTCATTTATTAGCTTCGTGCTTGTTAAGTTCAAGTCCGCCACGTTGCTTGCATCTTTTATTTTCGATTTGAGTTTTAGCGCACGTTTGAAAGTTCAAATGAAGAAGGTATCATGAAGTTTTGTGATAAGACGTTGTATTTCTCGTGACCAACGAACACAGGGTTTAATTTGTTTGCCTTCTAACCGCGACTAGCGTGAGGTTTTTAATATTTAAAACAAAGAATATTACAGTGTGAACTTTACTGAATCTTAGTTTCGTAATAAAATTTGCTTTGCTAATGTTATTAATGTTCTAAGTGTGAACATAATTTTAATATCTTATCAGCAAGAGCTCTCTGCTCGCGTGTATAACATTACGATAACTTGAACTTATCTAGGTTGAAAGATTAGGAATAATTACAGACAGCTGCACAATTTGCTTTGCATAACAATGTTTTTTGATGATAGCATTGTGTTCAACATCTAGTTGCATTTACAACTTCGTGTAAAACATCATGTTTTAAGTTGTCATTTCACAGTAGGGTCTGAAGGTCTTCTGAACTTTGTAATTCAAAACTTTGAAATAATATATTATTTGAACAGTAGGACTCTCAAAATAATATACAGACATAATGGCACATTCTCATCACAGAATTACAACTAATCACAGCAATCCTAACTTTTGCACACAAGTCATTCATTCTGTTACAAGAGGATCTGGTAACCCGGGGTATTCATTCTGCTGTAATATGACTAAGCTAGCTAGGTGTAATTTCAAATGCAGTAATTAAAAGTTGACAGCTGTGTAAGTAGGGGTTGAGTTGACAGGGTTTCTCATACCAGCAGGGCTAATATTAGCTTCATGTTTCCTCGTACATGTTAGAAAGTATTAATAAAAAACAAATTGTTATTTTCTAGATACTATTTATCGTGAAAGAAAAACCACAAGACGAGATGTGAATGTTACCAAAGTGAGAATTGAGTAAATTATTTAAAAAGATCCCTTTGAACAACTTGAAAACATTTCTAAACACTTCCTCACCAAGTACCTTCAATCCAAATGTCTGAGTGTTCTTAATTTTTTCAGGTGGTTCAGACAAAGCACATCAACCAATGAATTATATATTTGCCAATGCTTGTTGAATTATTGAATTCCTTGGTTAACCATTTGTCTAAGCGTTGATTGAGCTGGTTGCAGTTTGTTTTTGTCAAGTTATGAAATGTCCAAAATTAAAAGATTACCCTGTTAACCCATTGACCCACAATGCGCCCCACTTTTTTTTACTTGTCTATAATGCCAGGCGATTTTACTCGTCAATGGGGATTGGTTAAAAAGGAATATACCCCAGATGCATACGTTCACATTGCAATAAATGGTGTTAGGTATCATGTTTTTCTTCATCTTTTTCTGTTCAGGTATTAGTTATTAACCAGAAGAAACAAATTAAAAACTCTGATGTCACAAAGAAACTCAACATAACATGGATCAAGCATCCTTGGACATCATCTGTGAGTATAATAATCGTAAAAATAAACTTGAAGATTGCCATCAGAGCAAGCCAAACTAGGGGTGCACCGGAACCAATTTTTTAAGTTCCGGCCGGAACCGGATTCGACCGCAACTGGGAAAAGTTCCGGCTGGAACTTCCGGCCGGAACCGGAACTGATTTACTAATTAGCCATATATAGTCATACCGTATGTTACTTTGTCCGCTACCAGACAGGCAGACACTTCAAGTCATCAAGGAGAGAGCTTGCAAATGTTAGAATAAAAAGATTGACAAACGTTAAACGTCACAATAAAGTGTTAATAGTGTACATTTCCCTTGCGTAGTCCAAATTTCTTCCTACTGTGAACTTTTGTCAGACACAAAAACGTTTGATATTCTATCTCTCTGAAAATGACAGAGTTCCGGATCCGGCCATGCTTTTTTTATTAGTTCCGGCCAGAACTGGAACACTCTGAAAAATCGGGGTTCCGGAGCACCCCTACCCCAAACCACTCCAAACTTTCTGAAAATTGTTGAAAAGCATTTCTCGCATCAAAACAGTTAGTTTTGACTGATAAAAACATGTTTTAAACATTTTTGGTAAAATGCAAAGGGGGAACCACAGGTATACCTAGGCTGACCAAAGGGGGCCCCATTATTCTCCCCCTTCTCCCCAGGCTCTCCATTAACCCATTGAGTTGTATTGTACCCCAATATGCCCTGCATTATTATTATGTCTAATGCTAGACAAATTTTTAACGGTGAAGGGGAGAGAGTGCTCTCAATGGGTTAAATGATAATTTACATGTTATGTTGTTTCAGTTGCGTGGTTTCCTCAATGTGCATGTCTGGCTAGACTGGTGTGGCAGTACAGTCAATGATCTCAGACGTAATATTCACTTTCCTAACTATCCCGATGTCAGATTGAAAACTAAACTGTTTCATCTCAGCCATGATGCTCATAACTTTGGTCAGAGAGTCTTTGGCTATCTACATCCACCTAGAACAGGTATGTTTATTGCTCCGCTATCATCATGGATAATAAAATAAATGGATAGGAAACTAGCGGACGTGACCTAATGTTTTCAATGGGATGTTGGCATGGTTGGATGTTGAAACCTTAGGTTGCAAACCAAATTCTCAAAAACGGCATGTTTAGCAATAATACAGCTAAACATTTTAGTCAAAGAGCAAATAAATATAACTACACCATTCTACGATGAAAAAATACATCCCAAATTTCGTTAAAATTGGTGACGCCAATTTCGTAGCTACAAATGTAAAAAAATTGAAAACAAAGACGAAAAACATTTACCTTGAATACTTTGTCGTGGCTTAGGCATGTTTTTAAAACAATTAGACCAGTTTATGCTTCAATATTACTCTTTTAAAGCGAAACAACAAAAATGCCGAGGACTTTGGCAATACGTGTGACGTCACAGATTGCAACTAGGTTTAGACTGTGACGTCAGCTAGTAGTGTCCTATCCATTTATTTTATTATCCATGCTATCATAAAGACACCATCAAACAAGAATGATAGTTGACAGTTATGCATTGTTAAATACGACATTTCAATAAAGGTTTGACGAGTGTTGCAACCAGTGGTGTAACGCTCATTAGGTAGGGTTAGTTCAACTAAGGGCCCCCAATAGTTAGGGACCCGGGCCATCAGCCACGGCCTATCGCCCAGAAAATTAGAAAACGTAAAAATGCAGGTAAAGAATCAATGGGAAAATGCAAAATTAATAATGCTATATCCTATAGGATTAAACCTCCATCGACAATAGTAGCTGATTTTTTATTCCATCTCAATAAAAAACAAAAGTTATTCTTATTAGTTGTTACATGTGTTGGAGACTGTTATATTGTTAATGTTATTGACATGGAATTTTCCAGAACATTCTATAAATATTCAATATAAATCATAATTTCATAATTTAATAGCTTTAGTAGCCCTTGTTCAAATATAAACTATCAGCACATGGCAGGGAATCCAATTACTGCGGCCGTTTAACAACGACAAACATAATGATAATATATAGGAACAAGTTGTTTCCTTGTCCTCAGAGGCAAGTTGTAAGATACTATTTCAACACTAAACCAACTTTTAAACTCATATACCTGTAATAACGAGAGAAACAATTAAACAAAGAGTACTGCTTGAGGACAACAAACTAACTCTTTCCGAAATATGCAACAAACGAAAACACGATGTCTAAATGCAACACAAGATCGGATTGGTAAGACTACGAACACGATTACACTTTGGACAGATTGTTTTGTACGAACGAGGATCGTCAACGTCGTAAGAAGTTCTTACAGTGCGTCTACAGTAAGTGGGGCCACTTTATAGAAAACACTAACCAATCACATTGCAGAACAAAAATAAAAATCTAATCAAACTAAAACTCGTCCAATCAAAAGAAAGATTCAGCAAGCCATTAAATGCAGTGTTTACTTTTACAAGTCTATTTTTACCGTTTGACATTCGTTTATTTGTTCAAATTGTTTTTGGCCTAATGCTGATTGGCTAATGCGCCATTTTTTTATTTTTGTTCTGCAATGCGATTGGTCAGTGTTCTCTAAGTGGCCCCACTTACTGTAGACGCACTACCTGTTTTAGTTCTTCCGTGTTCCAGACACGGGTTGTTCGTATGAAGAAGGATTGTTGATGGGTGGTTGTTTTGCATTTGGGTATGATGAACTTGATAAATATAATATCTCAATCAAACAATGACAACAGTGGACAGGGGCCCCCACACCAAGTATGCCTAAGGGCCCCATCTTCTTCCTTTGCGCCACTGGTTCCAACTATGTTTTAACTTCAACAAAATACATGATAGCGTTGGAAAAGCATTAGGAACAGCTAACCAAGATCGCGCCAACTCTCATGCACTCTCGGCCTCGTTTCATTTGGGTTTAAATATTTTTTATAACTTAATTTATTTCCAGGCCACTACACGTTCGCGATGTCCTCGGACGATTCCTCAGAGCTGTGGTTAAGCTCCGACGATGATCCGAAGAACGCCCGACTTATAGCTTGGGTAGGCAATCTGAGTGATCCATTGTGGCAAGGAATAGTTGGAGATGGTGAGTTTACAAAATATGAATCACAAATTTCGGGCAAGATATTTTTACGACGCAACAGACGCTACTTTGTTGAGGCTTTGCATAAGCAATCAACGTCCAATGATCATTTGTTAGTTGCGTGGAAAATTCCGCTTGTCGGAAACTTCAGTCACATCACACGTGGTCGAATCTCACAATATATTCATCCACACGAACTTCATAACCTAGATGTCACTCGCTATGCAAGACATATACCTCTCACTCCAGCCGTACTCCAGGAACCTATCATTCTACAGAAACTTCAGGACCAAATACTGGTAGATATTTTAAACCCCACACAAAACACTGACACTCCAGTATCAAGTGACGCCCGCTTGTACCGTAGCGACGATTACCCGATCAGTAAAGGAGACCAAAATCGTAAACCGATTGGGAAAAGTGAGCAGTTTTCACCGACTGGGAAAAAGTACTTATCTGATCAAGGTAGTAAAGATAGTCATGTTAAACAAATTTTAGAGGATGTTAGTTTTGATACGAAATTCCGCCAGTCCATTGCTCATAAAATGTATCGTAGTTGTGATTATAATCCTAGTTATAGAGTAGACTTCAAAGTAGCGCGGTATGAAGGAGTGTATTTGATTCATGAAACTGCAGTTTATCCAGATGACAGGACACATTTGCAACATGTGGAATATTTTAAACCTTGTTATGAGATGAGGTCTGCTGATTCTCACGGCCAGATGTTGCCTGGTGTCGACCAGAGTGAGTTTGATGAAAGGGATGACAGTGAGGATAGTTGGAATGAGGGTGGGGGAGTAGAGGGGAATATCATTACAGTTAATTATCGAGACCATCGTCTAGACAGTGTTAACAAAAGCAACTTTTCTGGTGGGAAAAGATTTAACAAAAGAAAAATATTAGCGATTTTAGAGTCTGGTAATAAAAATACCAGTAACTCACGGTACGAGCGTAAGTCAGATGGAACAACGGTGACGTCACGTTTAGCAGTGTCGTCAGCACGTTCCCATGACAACAACTTTCAAGAGAGAGGAATTGAGCATGGTGGTGATTTGAAGAAATCTGAAAATATTTTTATTCCTGAAAGTAATTCAGATGAGAGTATGGTTAAAAAATCTCCCAAAACTACAGGTGACGAGGTTAGAAACTCCTTGGAAACGCCTGTTAACAGAGTAGGGAGAATTTCTAATGCTAGAGTTAATGGCGGCTCAGAACGAAGAATTAGTAAAAATACAAAAACTAAAACTGGTATTGAAGGACAAAGTAGAGAATCTTTGGAAAGACCTGTTGAGGCAGTGGAGAGAGTCGCAAGAATTCACTCAACTTCAGGACGAACACTCGATAAAGCGAAACGATCTGAAAACGATCAAATGAATGAAAATTTTAAAGAGCAACAAGGTCTACGAGAAAGTACTAGAAATAATGTAGATAGTCCAAAACACGAGCTAGAAAAGCGTCATGCACTTACTTTGAGTGGAACGAAAATCTCTGAACGAAATAGTGTAAAAGAAAAGAGAATTACTAATTCCACCCAAGAAATAATAAAAGAAATAATAAAAAGACGTAGGATGGAAAGGCGTCAAGGCGATGTTCATAATCAGGTCAGAATTGTAGATCAGGTAGGGACTAAGAAAAACTCCTCTGTTGTCAGACAAGGCAATTCCTTCAGTAATGACGAGGCAAAACTATGGCATCGCAAACGGGGCAATAGTAGACGATCTAAGAATATATTTGTGGACGACAGCTCTCCGCTTGCAATGACCTTCAGAACGCTTCACGAGTCGGGGCAATGGAAGGAGATTAAGGAATACGCCGAACGGAACGGATTGCTGCTGAACAAGAAAACGTGGATGTATGTAACTTGGAAATTTCTACGCTACGAGAAGCCAAAAAAGCCGCATGATAAACTTGTCGAGTTTGTTTATAAACAGAACCCACCCAAGTGTCGAACTGATGGAAATATATTGCTGAATGAAAAGGTTAGTCATGTTAATAGACTGACTTTATTTATACTGGATAGTTTTATCAGTTCTAAACTGTTCTTCCTAGAAGTCCAGTAAGGATCATCTCTTATTGATCCAGTGTTATTACAGGAGGAACCTAAACTAAACTAACTTTATTTATACTGGATAGCTCTATCAGTTTTAAACTGTTCTTTCTAGAGGTCCAGTATAAGAGTCATCTCTTATTGATCCAGTGTTACTACAGGAGGAAACCTAAACCAAACTAACTTAGTTTATACTGGATAGCTCTATCAGTTTTAAACTGTTCTTCTTAGAGGTCCAGTAAGAGTCATCTCTTATTGATCCAATATTATTCCAGAAGGAAAGCGGAGTACCTTGAGAAAACCTTCGGTGATTGAGTGAAACTGGATGCACTCTTCTCACTGAAAATATTTCAAGGTTGACTTTTTCAACCTTTTTTTCCAGGTGGCGAAAGGTATTGTTTGGAAATATATGCAGGATCTACGTAAAAGATACGGAAGGTTCGTCTGTGTGTTTGCATATTTAGTTGTGTATCCTTTACACATTCATATTTACTCATACTGTGGTTTTTCTACCACAGAAGTTTTTATTTTATTTTGTTTGTTCAGTGACGTATATCTAAGACGTATCGTCAACATTGAAGAAAACCATGACATCATTAAAGGAGACAGATACCTCATTGAACTAGTAAGTCACAGATACAAATAAATACTTTTCACAACAAGAATTCAGAAATAATTGTTATTTCATGTTTAACACTAGTTCGCTTCTTGTCCAAAAGATCAATCAAGGTCAATGTACGATAGTTTCGCGGCTAACATCATTCTTTCTTTCACAGGATCTGGGACTGAGAGATAAAAGTAAGTTCTCTTTTTTTTACAGCAGAATGTCCTGGGGAAGATTTTCAAAATTGCTTTCATTTCAATTTTTAGATGAAACCATCCAAGTGTCGGACTACGTGTACCTACCTCTTGGTGCCCAGTCCTTTTGCTCACCTCAACATTTTGTCTGGAGAAAAAACGTCACAGTTCACGTGATTGTTCCTGGTAATGAAACTGACGAATTTTTACTTTCTGTTGTATGTCATTGTTGATCCAGACATGGTCTCGGGCAAAGTCTATATGACGGTGAAGACAGTGGCATGATAACCATCCACTGCCTCGATCAAGCACTCCATCGTACTGTTGAAATATTTGTGAACGGTGTCTCAACATAAAATCGTAATGATAGAGAAGTTTATTGAGTTTCCAGACCATGCACGTCATTGTCGATGTATGTGTATAGAGCTTGCAAATATCAACATTTTTGTTTTAGTGAAAGATCAAGGAAAATGGGTGCAACATTTCATCGATGATATGTCCGAGGTAAAGTACAGTAATTCTGTTTTTCGGACTGTCTGTCATTCTGTGTGTTTGGCTGTCAGTCTGTCATTCTGTTTGTTTGGCTGTCATTCTGTTTGGCTATCATTCTGTTTGGCTATCATTCTGTTTGGCTGTCATTCTGTGTGTTTGGCTGTCATTCTGTTTGGCTGTCAGTCTGTTTGGCTGTCAGTCTGTTTGGCTGTCATTCTGTTTGGCAACTTTGGTTGTCTGTCTGTCTCTCATTCTGTTTGGCTGGTAAGCTATTCTGTTAATCAGCCTAGTTTTTTCATTACAGTTGTACGAGACAACACAAGATTCGAATGTGAACGTAATTATTGTGGATTTCAACAGTACGGACATAGATATTGAACAAGCGTTGAAGCGAAGTTCTTTAAAAAGGTAACACTATTTGCTGGAGCTCCAGAGAGAACAGTTTAGAACTGATAAAACTATCCAGTACAAGTAAAGTTTTTCTTAATTTAGTTTGATGTGTAATTATCAGTTTTTTCCCTAGGTATCGATTCTTGCAAGTAAACGGATCATTTCAACGAGCATTAGGAGTTCAAATCGGCGCGGATGTTGTGGAGGTAAACAAGTGATCTACTTTAATTTAATCTTCAACCGTTACTGGGAAGAATATGTTGGTCAAGAAATGTTGATAAGTAAATAAAGAAATTTTCTCTTGTAGAATCCAGACGATATCATCTTTACATGTGATCTACATTTGGATATTCCTAATAACATGATCGATGTTTTACGGAAGGTAAATGATTAGGTTTAACTTACGAAAGCCATTTAAATATTTAAGCTTGTACTACATTTCAAATTTTATTGTTCATGTTTGTAGCATTGTATTCAAGGCAAGATGGCGTTCTCACCGATGGTTTTACGGCTTGAATGTGGCTTTACACCAACACTCCCCTTTGGTAAGAATCTCTCGTGTCTCGTACGCAGCAAAAAACGCCCAGCCTGTGACGATGTTGATGAAAACAGGCGTGAACAATACTGAACAATATTGTTAACAACAGAAACAATATGGGCATCAAAATATTGTTCAGGCCTGTTTTCAACAACATAATGGTTAATACGTTGTGTTGCAGTGGTTATGTATCTTTCATCTCTGGGGTTTGATTTCTACAGGGAAAACAGTTTAGAACTGATAGAGTTAAATTAATTTAGCTTAGATTTTATTAGTAACGTATTAATCTTTCTTTACCAGGCGAATGGGAGACTATGGGATATGGTTTGTTCGCAATTTATAAATCAGATTTTGACCGTATTGGCGGCATGAATATTGATGAGTTTAAAACGAAATGGGGCGGCGAGGACTGGGAGATGGTGGACAGGTGAGATTTGATTGTATTAAGACAGTCGCTGATTGGCTGCAAGCTCACATAGTAATCGCTGATTGGCCGGAAGCTCACATAGTAATCGCTGATTGGCTGCAAGCTCACATAGTAATCGCTAATTTGATTGAATGTGTGAATGCAAGTTATGTATGTGTCCGAAAAACAATTCTGTTCCTCCGGAAGAGAAAATGGTGGAGAAAATTTCTCGTGTGAAGCTTTACAATCAAAACTATTTCTTTGTAGATGTCTAACAAAAGGGATGGAAATTGAGCGTCTTCGAGTACCGGAATTCTACCATTATTTCCACAGCAAACAGGGTATGTGGGGTAGCTATGGATTCGAGGACAACGTCTCCGGGAGCATTGGGGATACTATAATTGAAGATGAGTTGGTCCCAGTTTATGACGAGGAGGAGGACAGTGCAATAGGGTATAGTTATAATCAACCATTGATGCCGGAATATTAATCCATCCAGTTGAAAAGGTGAGTCCAGATTCTATTGCGACGTTTGTACAGACACACGGGAGTGTTGGAATTCGGAAGGCAGAAGCAGGCTGCCACAGGCCACTGATCTGAAATATGACCTGGATAGTGCGAGTCATGTTTCACGCCTCCAGACAATGAAGGCAGTTAAATAGTTTTCCAACCAGGACAATTAATCCTTTCTGAATGTAAAAAAGTGATACGTTTTAACTTTTTAGCTTTTTATGTTATTTTAAAAATTTATATTTTATGAAAAGCAAAGTTAGTACTGTAAAATCAAATTTTAGTTAAGTGTACTGTATATATAAATAATTATATCATATCTTAATACGTATATCTAAGGCTATCGATTCATACTGTGCAGTCGAAATTACAAAATAGACATACACGTAATACAATTTCATTTGAATATATATAAAGTAGACAATAACTTACGACGTGCTATCCTAAAACTACAACAGTATAATAAAAACAAATTTCTTTATAGTGTTAAAATCTAATGCTACAGGATAAATGCGAATAAATACTAAGAGTTCTATGAGATGTTCTAATTAAAGGTTTGTTTAAGACTGTGATAATATAAGTGTATTAACGTGTACTGGAAAATAATTCCAGCCTTGTAACGTTTGAGTGATGCATTTCTAACATTCAATATGCTGAGGTAACACACGGCGCCCACTTTGCATATTCCCTTCCTCAAGATCATTCAGTATGCTTCAATGTCCTGAGCTAAAACACGGCGTCCACTTTGCATATTCCCTTCCTCAAGATCATTCAGTTTATTGCATATCTCACCCAGGCCGCCTTTTTTCCCCATTCATCTCATCAACCAGTGCTATATCTCCCAGGTTTGAAGGCTGAAAGTTTTGCCTATCATCTCGCTGCTTTTCAAACCTGCACTTGAAAATGCAGTAGATGAACAAGCCAACGACTGCAAACCCGATTAATCCTATCACTGCACCTACAAGAATAGCGATAGCTTTCTCCACTCCCGGGACTTTAGATCCTATACCTGCTCCTGTTGCAAGCCCCAGTAGAACAAAGAAGAATAAAGCAGCTTTGCCATATCTGTTGTTTCGTGTTACATGATTTTCACTCGATTCTACTTGAGCGTTCAAGTCTAGTTGTTCATGTCTGAAAGAAGTAAGGGTTTGAAAGTATTCTATATCAGTCAGTGACCATTTGAATGCAATTACGCCAAAAAAAAATGTGGGTTTCCGGTTTCTTCTTATAAAAACTTAGGTGGGGTAGGTCGGTTTTAACTTTTTTTTAAAACTTTTTTTTAAATTTTCCTAACAACCGGACGCCATTTTGTTTAGTCAGTGCTTCCACATCCAAAGATAAATTTCCCTAATATTGCCTCAAATTTCAATTTTCCACAAACTTTTTCCTCTAAGTGGAAACCCTTACAAGCATAATCCAATAAAAAAGTTTAGGGTCGGGATTTTGACCGGAAACTCACATATTTTTTTGGCCTTACGATTCAGCATATGTTCCATTGCCTTTTCATTAGTTTGAAATTCCCGCTGTTCACCAGGTTCTCAAACGTATTGCTTATGCTAACCTTCAAATCCAATAACTTTATCCTATAAATCTTTACTTCAACCTTTCCCTAACTGTAACCATAACTTTAGGCGTAAAAAACCCCTGTGGTTCTGGTTTTATATCGTGAAAAAATTAGGGTCGGTAGGTCGGAAATAAATTTTTTTTGAATATTTTTTTCATGGTTTTGGTGGGTTTTTGCTGGACGATTTGCAGTAGAGTCCCGACATCAATATTAATTGGAGATGCGTATTTCCTATGGACAAATTTAGGCAATTTGGTTCAATAATTAGTGTGACAACAGACGCCATTTTGACATGCTGTATGAGCAGCCTGCAACCACCTGGAGAAAATAGGGTCGCACGGTCGATCGCGTTGAAAAAATAATAGGGTCGGCAGAAAAAAAATATGGTCGGTCGGGAACCGGAACCACAGGTATTGTTTTTACGCCTTAACTCTAATATTAACCCAAGCTTAATACTGATCTTACCCCAAACTTAACCTATAGTCCTTGTGATGTTTTTTTCCGGATAGTAATAAAAAAGTCAATATTCCTATAAGTTAATATAGCTAACATTCGTGTAACGCAATATATTCAATACTGACAGAAAACTTATTTAAATCGTCATTTCTATAACTGACTGCTCTCTGTGAAGCCTCTGTCCCATTCTCTGTGTTGGTGAAATTAATGGATGATAATTTTGACTTTGTTGAGTTGTGTACTTGCCCCCATTGTGCTCGCGTGGTTTGGATATCTGAGGTCTTGTCATTTCTTAGTTGAGACATCTTTATTTTATACCTGAAGATAATTGAAATATAAATATCACACTTTAACATACTCGTGTGTACGAGTTACTTTGTACAAACATTATATAGTATATAAACCCGACAAAGTAGTCTTAGTTCTTTACATGTAGTATGTGGCACATAAATTGAGATATGCGTTAAATCTGCTAGATCAGTTTGTTCTATCTACATGGCGCGGCCGTTTTCAACCCTAACCATAACTCCCAAACCAGGGAATGTAGAAAGAAACGGATACGTTGTTCGCCATGACGAAACGAACGAAATTCGAAATTTAAAATGCCAATTCTAAAACATACTATAGAGATTTAAAATCAAGTACTAGTGAGTGCATCAATGTATAGATAATGTAGCCTCCTGTTACGCTATATATTTATTATTCCAGAATACTAGCTCTAACTGAACGAAATAATTCCGTAGGATAGTATAGATAAGGAATTGACAGACTATACTTAGTATAAAATAAGATACTTCATTATTAAACTCACCAATGAAAGTTTTTGTGAAAATGTGACCAAGTAAACTGTTCGTCTTCGATATATTTTCAATTTTGATTCAACATTTGACAAGCCTGGATTTATATAGTACCAAAAAAATCCTAACGCGCATGCGCGCAAGCTACGCAGTTTTAATTTGCTGAAGTTGTATTTTCCAGATTTTAGCAGGTTTTTATATTTGGATATATAATTTGACACTTATTTTATTAAAAAAATTGATAATTATCCTTGCTCTAACCGCCGCGACGCGGCACTTTGCAGGATAGTAATATCGAACAGAACCAATAATTAGTCTTGCATACTGTCTATTTCTGTTAACATTTTTGTTGTTTTCAGTTTTACCTAACAAATATATGCGCAAGTTTTAATATTGGTTGAGGGCTTGTTGCAGACGTCATGTTTCAAATGTGGCTAATTCAACTTTATTAAATTTTACAGCATTTAATTTATACAGCGTACTTTTTTCATCTAATTTAACTTTTTTTTGTAATGTGAACATTTTTGTCACATATAGTACAGTGTAGTAAAACGTCCTATATTCGAAAATTAAATTCGGTATATGTGTACATAAGACATGTCGCATTTATTTTGTATGTCGTATATAGTTATGAAAATTTCGCACCTGTATATTAATTAGGCTGCGTCCAGACTGGGTGCCGGCACTGGTGCCCGGCACTTGTTTTGGCTCCCAGTTTGAACACGACGCTTTCAAATGAAATTGGGCACAGTGCCCGGGAACGGGCACTACCTCTAGAGGTAGTACTCAACAACGGCACTGTGCTCAACATGTTTTGTGAACCATTTTGAACATTGGGCACCAGTGCCGGGCACTCAGTCTGAACGACCCCTTATATACCTTTCTTGACATGTGGCCATTGCGAGGCGAGAGAACTATTTGCATGAAACAGTGGGTACTCCCCTATCTGCAAAATGCTTAATCGGCCATTTCTATCGTTTCGAATTGCTTCGTTTCGTCAAATGTTGCTTGGAGTAAAATACAATCTGAAAACGTTTTATCAAGTAAACTGCAATAATGGTATAGGGCTTTGCTAATCGCTATATCACATACTATATATAATGACCCAGTGACCGATTCCTAGCTTAAACTAAAGTGCTTAATCCGCATTATTTTTTATAGTGTCTGTATATAGTACACGTTACAGTGGGTCTTTCCCTAACTTTAATTTCTTAATATAATATTTTATATTGTGTTGGAAAATATTGATTATTTTAATTAATATTTAATATGCTATAAATATGCAATGCAGAATTCTGTTACAGTGGGTTTTTCCCTATCCTAAACTTATTAATCCATATTTTGTTATTGAAATTGTATCGTTACATCAAGATCTGTTTACTGGTAGACTACGTGAAGCGTCCCTCTTCGGAGTTCCTGACTCATTTGGAGGTTTCCTAATTACCTCTCCAAATTTGAAAAAGTACAGAAAAACTCGTTGCAAGTCCCTTTGGGATTTTGCGATGTTCATATCGGCAGTATTCCAATACAGAGAAACTTCCTTTTAAATTTTCCTAACTTCCTGTTTAATCTCTCTGACTTCCTGTTCTGTTCTTGGAAAAGATCGTTGTCATTGGTGGATCATTTTTGTTGGCCAGTTACAGCGCACAGATCAGGACAGAACAGAACAGAACAGAACAGAACAGAACAGAACAGAACAGAACAGAACAGAACAGGAAGTTGGGAACTTGTAAGAGGAAGTTAAGAACTTCTAACAGGAACTAAGGAAAATTTATTGCAAATTCCCGCAAGGGATTGAGGAAAATTGCAATCAAGTTAGGAACTGAAGAGAGGAACGTTTGACGTGGATTACCTGTAGACATGCATGTTGGTCCAACATCCTATTTTTTCTGATTTTTCGCTGGTTTTTAAATAAATGAAATGCAACTAGCGTAGTTGAATTGCATTGACGACCCAACGTTCAGTGTGGTTTCGTTTTGAGGTAAAATAAAGTTATGTTCCCTTTGTTTTAAAATTCTTTGTTTACACACAGGAAGCAATTCATGTAGGGCATGTTCTGGATTCGATACGATTTTGCTAAATAATTTTCTGTCTCTCTCCTCGATCACTTCAGATATCTTAATACTCTTTGTCGTATATCCATAACGATAAGCCCGCCGGAAAAACTTGTCTATACGATCCAAATATTTCTTTTGGAGTGCAGAGAAATGACTACAAGAGTATCTTGTTGGCAGATGACGTCATTCCTCGAGTATACAAGAAGCGACATTGTGACTTTAGATCACCCTGGCGAAGACACGAGGCTGCAGTGTCTTCTGCGTCATGAATGCAATTCGACTTGGCTTACATTCAGGTGAAAGTTTTAGAAACAAATACTCTGTAGGTTAAGAGTCAGTACTGCAAAGAATGAAATTTATTTATAAAAGTATCTACACGATTACCTTTCTGATATTAACTGCTTATATTTAAATGAATATACTTTATATTTACTTGATCGTGATATGGGATCAATTGCTAATTTAACTCCAGCGAGTCCTATTTTACAATTAAAATTACAAAATTGTTATTACTTACAGTAGTTATTAATTAGGAATAAAATGAGCTTAATATAAATTCAGGAGTTACACAAAATAAGTAATAATCTTGCAAGCCTTCATTTCGTCGCAGCTATCATGAGCAAGTCACGGTGAGCGATGTGAAATAGTCTGGATCTACCTTGTCTACTGACGTAAAAACGCGCAAATTGTTACAGTTCTGCAAACAAGTTGTAACAAAGTTGTTGTCGAGCCGATATCAGGATGTGTTCGCACTGCTTGTTCCCAGTTGTTATCATCTTGTTACAAGGTTGGTGACGGTAGCAAACTTGCTACAAGTTGTTCCAACAAGACTAATACAGGCTGTTCGTAACAAATTGCTACGAACTTGTTGTCATCATGTACTTGTTAACAACTTGTTACGTGTTGACGACATCAGACTTGTTGGAACAACTTGTTGCGAATATGTTGGCCTTATCAACCTTGTTACAAGATGATAACAACTTGTTCCAGACTTGATTTTTTCTGTGTTGGTATAATGTACTCAGGTGAATATAAGGTTTGTGATGTTACTCTGAGTGTATATCCACACCGGACGAGCTTGAAAAATATGCCCGGCCACGGTGGGAATCGAACCTACGACCTTTGGAATACTAGCCTAACTGTTCCAGACTTATCAACAACCAGTTGTTGATAAGCTGAGATTTTTGGGCATGTGTGTAAATCAGTATTTACTGAGATATATTTGACATATTACATCGCCTACCCGGTCGTGGCTGCCACGACGAAATAACTGCTAACAAGATTCAGAAACAGTTCAGTTTGGTTCATCACACTTGATTAAACTGACCATGATTGCCAGTCGTTTCTCTCGAGTATTCTGTCAGTTTCTCGAGCAAAATAGGAAGAGCAGTCGCCATGTTGTCTTCTTCGATGTCGTCCAGTTGACTTCGTATTTCACTCAAACAACTTTTCTTCTCCTTGATCAAACCAACGAGTTCCACACCCCCCTGATTGGAACTCTGAATTTGTTTCCACATATCTCGCGACTTTGTAAACTTCCACTTGAAGAAGATATACAGGACAAGACCCACCACTGCAAACACGATCAATCCTAACACCACACCTACAGCAATAGCGGCAACTTGCCCCCATCCCGGGACTTTTGCACCTAAACCTCCACCAATCACAGCACCCATTACGGCAAAGCCCACTGCAGATGGCCGACCATATTTGATCATTCTTTGAACACGGTTTTCACTTGATTTAACTTGAGTTGTCAAATCTCGTTTGATGTTCAACGCACGGGAGGCCAGATCTTCATGGCTGAAAAGTTATGCTTATTAATATTATTGTTATTATAATGCGAGCTTTTTGATATTTCGAAATGTTCACACTCTCACCTGTCAAAGTCTGTTTTCAAGTTCTTTCTATCACTGTCTGTTTTCTCGACCACTTCCGATCTGTCGTGAATATTGCTGTAATAATATTTCATGGTTGACATCTTTGCCTTGGTTTGATTGTGTAAGTTTGGCCATTCTGTCAGGATTGCTTCAAAGTCTGAGGTGATGTCATCTCTCAGTTCCGACATCTTTATTATACTAGAACATAGAAATGTTTATAATAATATATAACTCTTCTCAACATGGTAAGATCTTTATATAGAATACATCATTACCAGTGACAAATCAATTCCACGAGTCATTCTGTGTCATTGTCACACTGTACATTTCGAGTTGCATCGACTCGGAAAGTGTTTAACACTTTATCCTATAACCAAAAGCGCTCAAAACGGGTGAGATAATACCACTTTTGGAGTTGAGACTCCTTGGAATCTACCGTGCAGCCTAGCTGTAGTCATCTGAGTGAGAATTTAAATATATTAAACTGTGAAGGGTGGTCTATTTTCAGACTTTAATAAGTGTCAAATATTGTGATCATCTGCTGACCATAGATACTGCTGACCTATCGTATCTTGAGTAGGTAGACTAAAAACTAAACTAACATGCTCAAAGAAAAGCTTCGACGCGAAACGAACAATTATCCTTGTCAGCATTATCCTATATTCCTGTTTTCGTAACCACTTATGCAGTATTATTTCACCAACATCGAAGTAGTCTTTGGTAGTCTTATCAATGTTTGTTTAAGATGTTTCAGTGACTATAAATGAACTGGGAGCATTTCAGTTTTGAAAATCTGTTGTGATCAAGTTTGTGCTTGCCTTACTTATTTTGCATAACAACAGGAAATAAGATTAGAAGGCATTGCAAGCTCTGCGGGCGAAACACTATAGTATATATAGGCGTCAAAATTCGACCCTAAAAATAATGCATCTGTATAACTTTGTTACTTTCATAAAAATAATGTAAAAAGGTAGAGTTAGTGTCTTTTATTTTGTAACAGTTTTGTTAATTCTTGGTCAAAAATAATTATCGCCTTTGGCAACAGATGGCCACATAAAAATATTGAAAAGCAAAATACTAAATAAACGTTTTAGGGAAAATTTAATTCGTATTGAATATTACTTTGTTAATGTATGTTTATAACTTAAAAATATAACTATTTTTAAGCCTACCTTTGAAGAATGGAACGATTGTTTTCTAGTGAGTTCAAGTCCAAACGTTTTAGAGTTAACTCAAAACATTTATTACTATGTTATCTAAAACATGTACATGCATTAATAATAGCCTGTCTATCTGCTAGATCTAAGACAATAGTCCAGAGCTTTGAAGCAATGTGATTGGCTAATGCTGCCTAGATACGTTGATACTAACGTCTGGTGGTTGTCGTGTTGACATCAGGTGTTTAATTGTTTTGCTTCTGTTGCTCTGAGTGTTTCCATACTTAGCTTGTGTGCTATAGTACTGGGACACAGGTCACTACACACAGGGCAAGCTGAAAAAAATACTTGACCGCAGTAGGAATCAAACCTACAGTTATCACGTCATACGAGCCAGTGTATATTTGCCTTACTTGGAACAACAGAATCAACAAAGTTGGAAACAACATTTTAAAGACTTGAGCCCCGTTCACACGAGCACATTTTATTTGACAAATTTCATATGTCAAAGATATTTTGCTCGTGTAGATGATAAATTTGTGACAAAGTTATTGTGACAAATGCATTTGAACAAATGAAATTTGTCAAATAAAATTTGCTCGTGTAAACGGGACTTTAAACGGTTGTCCATCTTGTATGTGTCCTTGCGAAGTTTGTTTATGGCTGTGAAAATATAATTTAGTGATATGACTGTTGAGTGTGAGCCTGAAGTGTTTGGCGAAGATCCTGCTCCATTTTAGGAGGACTTTGAAAAAGATATCAAGTGGTCGAATTGCTACTTCTGAGAAGCAACGATACTTCTAGTGAGCCTAATAACTTCCTCTTCAAATGAATTCAAAGCAATTTATGAATAATGTGGAAGTCGGTAACACTGATTGCCATTTCAATACTTGGAAACGTTAAATCTAATTCTACGTAGACCATGACAAACCCCTGCAAGCATCTCTGCTTGAAGAATCTCTGAATAACAAATATTCTGACTTGAGTTGTAAACATGCAGAGTGAAGCATGAATGAATTAACTCTCTTGACCATATATAAGTTCACTATATTATCTATACTCCTAAATATAGAGAATACTGTGCATTATTTAGCGTAATTTTAAACATGTTAATGAAATTTTCAATTTCGACAAAGTATAACATTCAACAATCACGCTGGCCCGGTCTGCTTTTATCATGACTGATGTAATTTGTAAGTTGACGCAATTATTCCATACTTTGAGTGGCGAATATGGATCGTAAAAGCTCGACCCATTTTATAGAAAACATAACTCGATATCTCCGTCCTCGAATATACCCCGAAGACACAATCGTTTACATACAACTTTTATATTTCCGATCAGTTAAGAAAAAAATAAAATCCCCTGACGAGGAATTTAATGAATCGCGCAATTGACACCAAAGTAAAGTTGTCGCTGTTTGAGTCTTTAACTATGACATTTTCACAACATTTACGATATTTGCCCTTAGTTTTTGCCACAGCATTTTGACAGAATTGCAGACGCTTTCTCTAAATTTCTTGAACATTGAGCCAAACGGAGATCATTATTTAAGACAATATATTCTATCTATATATACTTGGTTAGATTAGCTCTGCATCACCAGTGCGTCGTTTCAAAATCTCGTAAAGTTTATTCCTGTCGTGCTATATCATTAATCTAGAATTTTTTCTATCATGACAAATTTAAATAGTTCATTGCCAGGAATTAATTGAACGAAGAAAACATGGTAGAATTAGAAAATATCAATTATATAACTTGTACTACAAAGATTTCAAAAGATGATACTGAACCGTGCCCATGCAGCGCGTTTCAAAAGCTCGAGGCAATGTTGTTTTTTGGTGCTGCAGCTAATACTTGATTGAACTCGACGAAGTAAGTCAATGACTCAATGTTAGGTGTTTGAAACAAACTCCAGTGGGAAACTTACGAAGATATATAGAAAATATAAATTGATATAATATAAAACTTACCAATGAAATTTCTATATTCGTGTCCAAGTAAACTGCCTTCGTCTTCGATATTCTGTTTTGGTCAAACATATGACGATCCTGGACTTATATGGTATCAAGGTATTCTGAGCACGCATGCGCCAACTGCGTTTTATGGTGACATCATTAAATTATCATGTGGGACTTACCCCCATTTTATTTCACATTCGTTTTACAATAGTTTCGCTGAAGTTGTATTTTTCAGTTTTGAAATGCTGACTCATGCTGACTCATGTGCTGAGTCACTCTGAAAATATGCCAGATTTCGATATTGGACACAGAATTAAACAGTCAATTTCCCATTTTAACAGTTTTAAATTGTTTCGGCTGCGGTGCAATTTCATTTTGCCGATCAATTTTAAAATGGTTCAAACACTGCTTATATGTATGTCTTAGTTACGATGAAAGTCAACTATAATTGCTATTGTGTTATTAAACTGCATGGTAAAAGTTTCTGTTGACTGTTACAGTCAATTTCAGCTGACTTTTCATCGTCGAAGTGCGTTTACACTACAAAAATCTAGTCCAAAGGTAGGCCAAGGCCAGACTCGTCTGCGCTCCTTCGCCCAGCGGCTACGCTCGTGTTCCAAGATCCGCCATGTAAAGTGTAGTGAAATGTATCTCATCGTAATATTAAATCCTAAGAAAACTAAAGCCTCTGCGGAGGAGGGAGGGCTCGTAGTGTAAACACGGCTTTAGAATGGTGGCTTGTAAGTGGAGTAATACTTGCTAGGAGTTTGCAAATTTAAATATTTACAAGTGCATTAGGTCTCTTAGGTTTTAGTTTAAGACCAACATGAGCGAGTGAGATAAACTCGACTAGCTAAGGTAAGGCATCAAGCGTGAAATCCACGCATCAGCCCCCCGGGATCAGACCTCATGTTTAGTTCTGCATATTTAAATCGTGTTCTAAACCTTTTTTCAACACCAAATGTGAAGGTGGAAGGAGTTGTTTGTCCCCACTCAACTGCATGCCTTCTGAACATTACACACACCGATTGCTAAAGAACGCCGAGCAAGAGAAGAAACGAGCATACGCTGACCATATTATCCTAGTAGAAAATGGAATATTTACTCCACTGATGATGATGATGATGATGAATATTTAATCAGGTAACCTACTCGCCAAGGCGATTTTCAGTAGGGACCTGGTACAATATCGTAAAAGTGATACAATGAAAATTTATTTATTTATTTATTAACTTTGCCAGATTTAAACAACGTTAACACAAAAACTGGCAGGGCAATCGCAACAGCTTACGCCAATTACTGCGATCCCTAAATGTTAGACAAATACACTATATATGTACATAGAAAGAATCAATTACTAACGAACTATCAGATGCAACTTTTCACATTGCGACGCGCAGAACCACTTCTATTTTTGGAAGCTGACTGAGTCAGAAGACGTTTGAAACCCTCACAATCCTAAACCTTCAGCAAAACCTGAATAGGCCCCATAGATACCAATGTAAATTACAAAGGTTAAATAAAAATAAATCTATCACTAAGACTACATACGTTCATAGTCAATTCTAAAAATATGTAAATCACTAAAAATGTGTACTGATACTTGGGACAAATGGCACAATGGGTGATGAATGCAAGAATTACTTTGATAAAAAATTAACCTGTACAATCTCGTACCCAGAGCCCTTCTTACGAGCGCGACGAAGGGCTCTGGCCAAATCTATAGGCATAGAGGCATAAAGGCCTTTTATATAAATTGAAATGTTTAGGAATAAAAGGGTCTTTGCTATCATGGTTTCACAGCTATCTTTCTGGTAGAAAACAGAGAGTAGTTATTGAAGGGCAATCGTCTGGCTGGGGTGATCTTGAGGCAGGGGTACCACAAGGTTCTGTTCTTGCACCCTTACTTTTCTTAATTTATATTAATGATATCACTGAAAATATTCAGTCTGAGGGTTTGTTATTTGCAGATGACACTTCTCTATGTGAAGTTGTCGAGACCCCAGAAATAACTTCAGTTAAATTAAATAGCGATTTAGACAGCATTAGTATTTGGGAAGATAAATGGTTAATGAATATCAATTCTACCAAAACAAAAAGCATAACATTTTCGGCAAAGCGAGACAACTTGCAACATCCTGACTTATTTTATCGTAACAATATTATTGAGCAAGTTAGTTCCCATACCCATTTAGGTGTAACCCTGACGTCAAATCTCTCTTGGAGACCACATATTTTAAATATCTATCAGAAAGCTAGCAAGAGAGTAAACTTATTGAAGGGGATCAGATTTAAGGTTCACAGGTCAACATTATTCAAGCTTTACAAATCTATGATTAGACCTACTATGGAGTATGCTGATATTGTGTGGGATGCATGCTCTGATGCAGAAGCAGAGCTCGTCGAACTTGTTCAGTATGAAGCGAGTAAGGTGGTGACTGGCGCATTCAAAGGGTCAAGTAGAGTGCGCCTTCGTAATGAATTGGGATTGGAAGAAATGAAAACTCGGCGATTAATTCGTAAACTGACAATGTATTATAAAATAGTTAATAATTTTACTCCAGCCTATCTTAAAAATGTGTTATCTCCGAGAGTATGCGAAAAAACAAGCCATAATTTAAGAAATTCACAAAACTTTTCTTTATTCTCAACCCGTACCGAACGTTTTAAAAAATCTTTTTTCCCATCTACCACTAGACTCTGGAATGATCTTGATCATTCCATTAGAACAGCACAAGGTGTAGGCACTTTTAAAAATGAATTGAAAAAATACTTTAATTTACAACAACATCCTAAGTACTTCGATTATTCGTTGGACAGATTTACATCAATATTACACACCCGTATTCGTTTAGGTGCTTCGGCACTTAATACTTACCTGAACAAAATTGGGGTAAAATTTTCTCCAGCATGTTCTTGCGGTCACGCGAACGAAGATGCGATTCATTTCTTCCTCCATTGCATTAAGTATGATTTTTATAGAAACAACCTTTTGGCCTCTGTTGCTCAACTATTTCCGAGTAGATGGTGCCTTCTCTCAGACAATCAAAAAGTTGATTTGTTCCTATTTGGTTCAGATGTGTTAACTGAAGATGAAAACTGTTTTATATTTTACAATGTTCAACTTTTTATTCGAAACACAAGAAGATTTAATCTGGGTTGAGAAGGCTACCACCTTATCTTACTTTACTTTAATATATGTGACGTTTGTAAAATATGTGTGAAAATTATTTTGTAAAAATGTAATGTGCGTGAGCTCTCTTGATGAGCATTAATGCTCTTAGAGCAAACGCAAAAAATAAATTTAAATATATTGTTTATACAAAAAAAATCTATATCCGAACTGGCATCTGATTGGCCATAGTTCTAATACCGGATATTGTTTTCTTACCATGTTTTTATGGTATCCGGTTATGGATTTGCCAGAGCCCCTCGTCGCGCTCTGTCGAACCCGCGTAAGAAGGGCTGGGTACGAGAATGGATACGGACACGATTAAATTTTAGTATTATAGACTCAGCCTTATTATGTCTTAAGCCCCGTTTACACTACGCTCAATTTTTGGTACGGCACGGATAAAATTGGTATCCGTACCACTTTTTTGGTTCTTGGACTACCTATTTAGGTAGTCCAAGAACCGAAATATGGTACGGTACCAAAAATTGAGCGTAGTGTAAACGGGGCTTAGCTATATAGGTAGTCCAAGAACCAAAAAAGTGGTACGGGTACCAATTTTATCCGTGCCGTACCAAAAATTGAGCGTAGTGTAAACGGGGCTTTAGAGGTACAAGAGTATATTTTTACGCTCCTGTAACATTTTTGAATTCGCTTGCGAGTTCAGTACTTGTGCGCAGAGGCAATCTCGTACCTGGCGCCAATCTCGTTCCCCGAGCCTGCGATCCTCGGGAAGGAATCGAAGGCTCTGGGATAATCCGTTACCGGAAGCCAAGAATCCTGGCTAAGATTGAACTACGCATTCCATTTCAATGGCCAATCAGATTCCTCCCTGAAACGGATTATCCCAGAGCCTCGCGTTCCTTCCCGAGGATCGGAGGCTCGGGGAACGAGATTGACCTGGCGCAGAATTGGCGCAGAGAACCATCCTCGTGCCCAGGGCCAAGCTCGGGCGGCCCTCGAACATGTTAAATTCTATAAATAGATGTAATATAAATAGATTTGCTATCATCGAACATGTATTGCATATGTGTATTCTGGTGTGACTTAACATTTGTTAATCAACTGTTTACAAAAACCTAATAATCTTATAATACAACGTCATAGTATACCCGCTTATTTCACGTTATAGCAACTGGTCAGTTATGGAAATTATAACTCGATGGACAGGGAAAACGATTCTGCAGTAACGAGAAGAGTAGTGCAGTTATTGTGATGTTATTTGTTGTGAAAGACGGCCCGAAATTTCCTCTTTACATCGCTCTACGTACTAGTTTATAAAAAATTCTCAATGAAAGAACACCCTGTCTTATTGTAAGGCCTGTAAGGTTTTAAAGGGTTTTCAGTTTTGGTAATAATTTTTAGTTTAAAAGATGCATAATATATTTACATTGTGCATATTAAACATTATAAATGTCGACAGTTTTCAGAAAGTTTGGAGTGGTTTGGGGCACTTTTTGAATTTTTAAAGAATTTCCTGTGGCCCGCCTTTGGTCAGCCTGGATTTAAATTCACTTAGGAGAGGCTTGGCCAATCAGGGTGATTCCTTTGTAAATAGCCACCAATCAGAAGTCTGTATTCGGGTTCTAGCTCTGTGCCAGTATTCAGGCCCGTTGGCCGTTGTTCGTGGTTGTAAACGAAGTCGTCGACCTGTTTGTTACCGCAATTAAATGAAAATAATAAAAATAAACCTCTGGAACCAGGGTACCTGTTTGTCGGTGCAAAGGAGTACCAAGATACGACGTTTAAATACAGTAAAGAAGCACAAAATCCGAAGTTAAAGACAGGTATGTTCTATCAATTTGATAATTTAATAATAGTTTTTAATTGAGACTTTGACAACCGACATTTTCAAACGCAAAGTGCGGTGACAAAATATAAATAAGCAGAGCAATGGAAGTCGTCAAAAAGAGATAAAAGGTTTTGAATATTTACCGGGTACGAATCTTAACTCAAATTCCTTTTGTTTCTGTATATGTATAATGAATAAATAATGTTTTGTAGCGAAAATATTGTGCGCGCCAATGTGTGTTGCTGTATAA